GTGCTGGTGCTTACACACGATTGTCCTCATGTGCTCCGGCAATGCAGGAGGCTCGTGACGGCCGCAGTGCAGAACAGTAACTGACGCTCAAGACAATGGCTCTGTTTTGTCTCAAGTACACTCCATTTAACAAGGCAGACGACAACATACCGTTAATTTAGGACTTACTAAGCGCCTTGTGTGGTAAGTGCTTTATAGACATTCAATCAGTAAATTATTACAAGGTGCCTACTAAATGCTTAATTCATTGAATTCTTCCCATGTCCACATCTGAGAGTTTATGATCTCCCATTTGCAAAGGAGCTAACCAAGGGTGAGAGAGCGCATGTTCGTGACGCCGCATAGCTGCTTGACAGTAGAGCCGGAGGGTGGGACCCCCATGTCTGTGTTCCAGATTTACCCTCACCTTCACAGAGATTTCAAGGGCCAAGCCTAAACGCAGAAGACTCAGTTTTTTGGACTGCCGTCTCACACGTAAGAACAACCCCACATAAGTGAAGTCTTAATGCAGCTGAGAAGTGTTGGTAAAGGAAAAACATCTGTAACTCCTGTATTACAAACGTCAACTATATTAAATGATCTGTTTTTCACCTTCAGCTGTTCCATCCGAAGCATATGCTACACAGATGGCGGCAGAGGGTGGATTTACTTATTTATCTTCCTTCACCTCCACTTGGCTTTCTCTTTTGCTTAGCACTCTGCTCATAAACAGCCAGCAAGACAGAGCCCTTCAACCCAGTAATTATCGATGCCACCAGAAAAAGCCTTTAAAACAAACCCAAGTGAAAAGGGCCCTCGGGAATGTCAGTCACCTCCACACTCTTCTCCATCCGTCTCCAGCCAAGCAGCTCATCACCCCCTTTACGGAGGCCCTGCTTCCAGCTCAGATGCCTGACGCCTGCCTCAACTTTTGAATATTCTCGCCTCCTGGGATACTTGTTGCTGCCGCTGAATCCTCAGCCTCCTATGATCTCCTTCAGTCACAAATTCTTTCAGAATTAACTATTTCCAACCGAAACGGTGAATGATAGATTCAAGAGATACGTTCTCAATCCTAATGTCTGCTGGCAGCGAAAGCCGAGGGTTAGCGACACCACCACCTGCCCCGCTCCGGCAGCGCTCGTGCTCCTCCCACGGAGAGCCTGCCTGCGGGATGCCGGGTCAGGAGACGGTCTTTCCTCCCGCCTCTGTCTTCCGC